AGGTGGGAGCTGAAGTGGGACCTGGAGTAGGAGCTGGGGTGGGAGCTGAGGTGGGAACTAGGGTGGAAGCCAAGGAAGGGTAGGAAAATGGAAAATTGGACTGGAGTAATGCTTTTTTAAATATTTTATTTATTATTTTTATTTTATGTGTATGAGTACATTGGCTGCATGTGTATAAGTGCACCTGTGCCATACAATGCCCAAGGAGGTCAGAAGTCACTGGATCCCCTGGAACTGGAGTTATGGACAGTTGCTAGCTGCCATGTGGGTGCTGGGATTCAACCACTGAGCCATCTCTCCAGCCCCACATGTACTGCTCTTTCAGAAGACCCCAGTTCAAGTTTCAGCAACCTCATCAGGCAGCTCACAATCACCTACAACTCCAGCTCCTCTGGGCTTTCATCAGCATGCGCACTCATATGCACATACCCCCCCCACATATACATTTAATTTTAAAAATTAAAATAAAAAAATAGGAAAATTCTGTGGATATGGGAGGGTAGCAGAGCCCCACACCCCGAAGTCTCGTTGAAGTCTCAGGCTAGCTAAGAATCAAGAATTCCAGCACAATTAACAACAGTAGCTTAAAGCTATTCTCCCTTCCCAACTGAAAACCTGCAGGGATTTTCTAGAAATCTTCTCACCAGAACCACCATAAAAGGATAATCCATAATCCCTTTGTGCAACCCTATTGCCTCCTGGATTTATTTTATCAGATTGTAATTTCATCCTGGGTAGCCTGGAGTCATCCTACAATCTCAAGGAATAGAAACAGGGGAGGGGAGGGTAGAGGGTATGGTGGTGGTGTTTCCCCTTCCCAATCCACTTAACAGTGAAATTCCTAAACATTGCAAGGTTGGAGTCTTTGTCAAGGGTGAGTGGACAGAGATACAGCCCCCCACTGTCACTCTTAGCAACTTGAGGAATTCCCCTTGACTTTTTTTTTTCTTCTGTCTTTTTGAGTCAGGGTCTCCCTGTAGCCACAGCTAGCCTGGATTCGCTATGGAAACCAGGCTGGCCTCAAACTCACAGAGATCTGCCTGCCTCTGCCTCTTGAGTGCTGGGATTAAAGGCATGCGCCACCACTCCCTGCTCACATATAAACATTTTTTAAATGAAAAATATATTCTTAGCCCGGTGTGATGGGTGCACACTTGTAGTCCCAGCACTTGGGAGGCAGAGGCAGGTGGATCTCTGTGAGTTCAAGGCCAGCCTGGTCTACATAGTGAGTTCCAGGACAGCTGGGGCTACAGGGAGACCCTATCACTACAAGTGTGCACCCATCACACCGGGCTAAGAATATATTTTTCATTTAAAAAATGTTTATATGTGAGCAGGGAGTGGTGGCGCATGCCTTTAATCCCAGCACTCAAGAGGCAGAGGCAGGCAGATCTCTGTGAGTTCAAGGCCAGCCTGGTCTACATAGTGAGTTCTAGGACAGCTGAGGCCATAAGGAGACCCTGTCTCAAAAAGACCAAAAAAAAAAAAAAAATGTCTTTCAAGGGCTGGAGAGATGGCTCACAGGTTAAGAACACTGACTGTTCTTGCAGAAGACCAGGTTCAAATTCCAGCACACACTTAGCTGCTAACAACTGTCTGAAACTCCCCAGGGGATCCAATGGCCTCTTCTATCCTCTGTAGGCCTTGCACAACATGAGTGCAGTAACATACATGCAGGTGATACATACATACACATAAAATAATAATAAAATATTTCTAAAATGTCTTTCAATAAATACAACTCTGTTTCATACTGGTTCATTCTGAAATTCTTTTCTCTGGCAAAGGCTAGGGTCCAGCTTTAGCTGATGGAGGTGCCTATAAAAGAAGGGAACATGTCCGGCTCCTGTGGGTGGCAGTGTGGAGCTGTTTCCTGCTGCATACTCCTGAGAAGTAGTGGACAACAAGGTATGGCTGTGGCGGAAGCGGAGGTGGGAACCGCTGAACTGGGGAGAGAGCAGGGATTTTACTGAAGATGCTGCACAGAAGGGAAAAGAGAAAGACACAGCCCTGAACTCAGCCCTGAGGCCACCTACACTGGGCTCTGGGGACTCCAGGGAGCTTTGCTTGGCCCTACCCATATACCCCAGTCTCTGCCTTCTCCTTTCTCCCCTGATCAACTAAAAACAACAACTCAGCTCTCCTATCTCCTTCTCTGAAACTTGGCATTTTCCTGTCTAACTGAATTGGTGGACAGAATGAGGTCTGGGAATTGGGGGGATGCACTCTGTCACCACCACTCCAGTGTGGAGGAGTTTGGGGCTGAGCCCATACATCCTGTGGGGAGGGAGTGCTGTTTAAAAAATTTTATTTTTTACATTTATATTTATTTTATGCTTGAGTCGGGGGGCTTTATTTTGGTTCTGTATACTTATTTATTTTGTGACGGCGTATGTGCATTGGGGTCAAAGAAACTACTTGTGAAAGTTGGTTCTCTCCTTCCAAGATGTGGATTCCAGGGATCAAGTTCAGGTCATCAGGCTTGGCAGCAAGCACCTTTACCCACTGAGCGGGTAAATATATATCAGCAGCCCCTGGGAGTGATTCTTATCTGAGCAAAGCCTGAGTTCTGAGTCTGAGCACCAGCAAACACTATCCTCCAAATCCAGGTCTCAAAATTTGGGAGTCCCTAAGGTGCTGGGCTTCCAAGCTATCCTAGTTTGTTTCTTCATTGCTGTAACAAAATACTCTGACCAGTACCAACTTGAGGGAGGAAAGGTTTTATTTGGCTTACATCTCCCAGGTCACAGTTCATCAGGGAGCCAAGGAAGGAACTCAGGACAGGAACCCGAAGGCAGGAGCTGAAGCACAGGCCATGGAGGATCGCTGCTGACTGGCTTGCTCCCCTGGCCCCAGCTCAGCCTGCTTTCTTATGCAACACAGCCCACCTGCCCAGGGGTGGCACCACCCACAGTGGCTGGGCCGTCCCACATCACTCAACAATCAAGAAGATGCCCCTCAGCCATGGCCACAGGCCAGTCCTATGGCAGCAATTCCCCAATGGATGCTCCCTCAACCCAGGTGTGTCAAGTTGACACTAAAGCTATCCAGCACACAAGCTATTGGGGTCCTGAAACAAAGCCCAGCAAGAGCCTACCGGTCAGGCAGAGGAGACCTACAAGAATCTAGAAGCACCACTTTGGGTAGCAGGAGTTTAGTGTGGTTTCTAATGGAGTTAGATTTTATCTACCTTCTCAAGTTCTGGGAAATGACTTTTTCTGTGACCCTGCCAAGGATTCCAAGGGGTGAAACTAGTTCTGACTGGCAGAGGCCCCTCTGGGCTT